CGTAAGTGTCAACGATAGTTCAGCAAATTTCGTTCAGGTGACTTTTGCCTTAAAAACTGTGGTGGCAAGAGCCGACATGTTGGAATTGATACTGATGCTCTGAAGACGCTTGTTGAGTCTAACCCAAGGCAACACTCTCGTGAAATGGACCTGAAATTGAATGCTTCTCATAAAACAATACATAAACTTCTAAGGAATATAGGAAAACTTCATAAAGAAGGTGTTTGGGTACCTCACGAACTCTCTGATGATCATCGTTTCCAACGTGTGAACGTTGCTTCGTCTCTTCTGGCACGTAATGCACATGAACCATTTTTGGACAGAATTGTCACCAGAAAAATGGATTCTCTATGCGAATATTAAACGCCAAAAATAATGGCTCAGTCCTAGACAAAAACCACTTCCGATCACAAAACATGGACTTCATCCGCAGAAAGTGATGCTTTGCATTTGGTGGGACATCAAAGGAGTAATTTATTTTGAATTCCTCGATCTACAGCGAACTGTTAATGCAGAGATCTACAGTCAGCAACTGGAACGTTTAAATTAAGCCCTTCATCAGAAGCGCCCCTCATTCCTCAATCGGCAAGGTGTTCTTCTCACGATAATGAACGTCCACATGTGGCACGTTTGATGCAACACAAGATTATGGAGTTGGGCTTAGAAGTTTTCCCCCACCCACTATATTCTCCAGATATTGCATCATCAGATTACCATCTTTTTCGTTTGCTGCAACACCATCTTAATGGGAAAACGTGTGCAAATGTGAAGGTGTTAAAGAGGACATCGACATGTTTTTTGCTTCGAAGCCAAATTATTTCTTTAATCAGGGCATTAACAACCTGATTGTATGACGAAAAAGCATCATCGATAAGAATGGAGACTATTTCATTTAATAAATGTTTTGTTTTGATATATAAGTGGTTCGGGTTTTTCATCAAAAAAAAAGTGACATTAATTTCTTGACGACCTAATAGTTAATGTCACAGGTCAACTGCTTCAATTATACAATAATTTTATTAAAAAGAAACTACTGCACATTTATATTTCAGCTGTGTGGCATTATAATGTCAATCCCACTATTCAGTAGTATAAGAGTAGCTCAAGAATTTGCGATGGGTAGTGTTGATTATATGCCTTTCTTCTGGTCTTATCACTACTTAATTAGGGACAGTTAGCCCTCGAGTAACTACGCGCGAAATTCAAAACAAATGAAACTTATCTTCTGTAGAATATAATGAAAATATTTAGTCACATTCTTTAAAAATGTTATTGTATATTTTTTTGCTGTGAGAAAAATATATTTGCAAATTTAACTCATATACAAGTATTGGGTGTTGTAAAAGAGGTATTTTCACAATCAAGTATAAACTCTGAAAGACAAAAGTAGCAGATTGAGAAGAAATAATTTCAAAAATACTGTCTCTATAATGCTTTCCTTGCAGGCAACAGCTGCTGAAAATTCTTAATGAACTAATTGAAGATTATTTGATTAAATTCTGGAACTTAACAATGCTTTATCTTATGCAAGCAAGTAAACTGTAGTTTTTAGTTTAGGCATTTTTCTCCATCTACGTACGTATATATATGTATATATATACAACAATAGACTTAATTGTACTGATTTATTCCTATACTTTAACATACTGTTAAACAATCAAGCATCCACTGTTTTTGTAGGTTAAATAGTAGTTTTATGCTGTATTTAAACAGGCTGATTGCAAAGACCATGGCCCAAATGCATGCACTAAAGACTTCATTTGATACAGAATTAAACAAACCAAGTCTTTTCACTCAAATGCGCATGTTTTTAAAACTCGTACCATCAAAATTCGCAGTTACAGAAAAAAAAGCTAGGTATGTATGTCAACAGGATTCAGGGTGAGTAGAACATTTATTAAGTTGTTAATTGAGTTGAGTTGAGTTAATTGTTTATTGAGATATTCTAAGAGATATAACGTTTTGTACATTATAATGATTTATATATTCTCTGACATATAGAGCAAACTGTTCACCATCAACGTACAAGATGTACTCATTCTAAAGGTTCTTGCAAACCTTTGCCTTTTTCTTGTTTATATTAGATGTAAAACGATAGTCTTGTATTTTATAAGTAGTTAAATCAATCTTTCTTTTTTTTAGCTTTTGTAATCACATATGACCAAATTTGAGAAAATTTATATTTTTAAGAGATTGGGGGATTGCAACGAAGCTGCTATTGTAGTTTTGGTTGATATTATTTTCTAATTATTTGTAAGTAATATTGGTGTTTGAGATTCTCTTTAGCATATCTAATGTTTCATATTTTATTACTAGTATACTAGTGATGATTTTTGTTTACATTTTGAAAAATTTTGCTAGTTTTTTAAACAACAGGTTTTCTTTTATTTACAAAAACTAAAAATGAAAATTATGTTTTAGGATTTTAAGTGAACTTCCATCTAAGCAAGAACTAGAAACTGAAGTCACCTACCTAGAAAACCATTTAGTTCAACTTGGATCTCAAATTGTTTTCTGCCATAATGACTTACTTGGAAACAATATAGTCTATAACGAAGAAAAAGGTAAAATAAATTAACTGTAATATCTTATATCATTTATCTTCAAAGCTTGGAATGGTATAAATATTTTATTCCACTGGGATTTTCTCATTTAATATTACCTATGTTTGTACTATCTTATAAACCCTGTTCACACACATATGTAAAATTTTTTATGATGGATCTCGATCAGCCCTTTATTTATACTTAGCATCTCTGGATCATTTATCGTCAGCCACGAACTCCAGTTCTACTTCTGTATGTGATCTTTACCTACTGATTATTCAGCTATACTCAGTCATATGTTTTATTTTTACTTCTATCTTATCTTTACCTACTGATTATTCAGCTAGAATCAGTTACTTGCCATAGTTATACTTCTATCCGACTTTTACGGATTGAATATTCAGATATAATGAACTACTTAACTCTAAAGAAAAATATATATGAAAGGGTTAAACAAAAAGATAAACTTCGTAAACATTATCCTTCTAGAACTACCCAGGGCTCTATGTAAAAATGGTCCAGTTTATTCTATGGAACTATTGTGCTTTTCACTGCAACCTAGATCAGCTTATGTCATCCTATTTTTCCTTTCTTACAGGAGTCATTTCTGAAACACATATGTCTCATTCCCATTCGATAATTTTTGTTATGCATAAAAGCAGATTATGTAACAGTTAAATTCAAGGAAGTGTAACATTGCTGTTCAGACAGCATTCTCTCATCTTATATGTCCCAGTAACTACACCACTGGAAGCTATTGCTATTCAAGGCTCCATTGGCCAGTATATCGCACACGCAATGTATTCTTTTTACCTGTCAACGGAAGATGAAGTTGATCATGAATACCATGTCAGTCTAGTGTTGTACAGTTAATTAAAAGGATTTAGTCTACTGTGGGGTGGTGGAAATATTGATGTCAAAGAGAAGTCTATCTTCTTATTGACCATGATCGTTCCTTTTTTATTCTAGTATTTATGCTCATTCCCATGCTCTAAATCCGGCATTTATTTTCAATTATCTATCCGTTTTTTCACCTTTTAACTTTCTTCTTGAGAGACGGACTATGATCTTTGAGGCAGTTATTATTTTCTCCTTACTCTGAAGAAACTAGCAAAAGATTCGTTTGAAAGGAATCGAAGTTTAATGATGATGGTGATGATGTGATACATTTTTTTGTCCATAATGCTATATTATATTTTGAAACTGGTGCTATGATAATTCTGGTGTACTATAGCATATATATAATGGAAACAACAATATATATAATGGAAACAACAATAAACACATGATGCATATGTGACGGTTACAAACATTTAATTTTTGAACGTTTCGGAATATACACATTCCGTCTTCAGCAAGCTATGATAAACAAGGTAAAGTATTAGGTACAATTTTTTAATGTCTAAAGTTCCAACATTTTGTGAAAAAAATTAAAATACAGAGTAAAAGGAAGAAATTTATTTTAAACAGGAATAGAAAAATGCCACAATTGTAACAATATTACGTGTTTTTTTGCGAAAGTATACAGGTTGTGTTATTATTTAAAATTGGGTGTTCAGTTACATTAGTTAAACTTTCTTTAATTAAAATTCAGTATTGGATGATCCAGATGAAACGATTTTGAAATTTTTAACCAAAATGAGGTGGTTGATATTTTCACTATGTATGCGAATTGCAGAGTCTGGAAGATTTGATAGTTGTTTTCCGTTTCTACTTGATATTTCCTTACATCTGTAAGTGGCATTACGGCCACAACATGTGTATTAATACATGATCCTGAAATGCATAGGAGTAGGTAGTAAGTGACTAAATATGAACAAGTTTTGAATCTTGAAAGATGATTTAAATATCATTTGAATTTAATCTGTCAATAAAAAGTCTTAATTATTCTTTAAAGTTGTGACACTAGTATGAAAGTTGTTTGTCAAAAAAGGGATGATCAACCTTAACGGGTATTTCACTAAAGTATATGGTTTCCTTGGGGGCTAAGTTTTGTTAGAAAGGAATTTGCATGTTAGGGCTTGAATAAAATGATAGGGATAGCCGTTGTTTATTAGAATTTTCTTCAGTATGAAGAAACAGGCAGTTATAACAGGCATTATATATTGTATTGAATATCAGGTTATGTTTAAAGAAGTCTGAAATATAACTTTCGAAATGAGTATGTAAGCCTATATATGTTCTTTGCGATAAACTGTAATAAACTGGTTATTTAATCTCCTGATTTGGATATCAGGAAAAAGCAATTTACCTTTTTTATAAGTTTCATAAGCAAAATATATTTTCGGGTGTTTCGAATATAAATAATTCAAGAATTTTTTATGTGTTTAGGACTTCGAAACAGTAGAAATGTATCATCAACATACTTACTATATAAAGCCAGCTTGTGTTCAGCAGGATAGATGTCTAACCAAAAATGCTCATAGTGACATAAGAATATGTTTTTGAGAGTCAGCTCTGAAAATACCACATTGCCATGCCATTTATTTGGTCATATAGCTAATCATTGAAGAATGATTATCCTTAGGAGCAAGTTTTAGTACTTGGTTGAACTGTTGGTGATTAAAGCTTGTGTAGTTTACATTTTTGTTGTAGAAAAGCTTCTTTATGATTATTTGTATATAAGAGACCTGGGTAGGAACCTGAGTGCACGTACATAAATTTGAAATATCAACCTATTTTCACTAGGAATTGTTACCAGAGCTGTATAAAAGAACAGTTCAAAAAGCTGCTTGGTCTTAATTTTACAACTGCAACCCCATAAAACCAGTTTCACCATCACTCACGACAAATATACTAAATTAAAGTAATTAGATAATTAAAGAGTGTTATTGTCATCTAACCTGATAAAGGTACAGGTTCTATTACCCTTAATAAACCAAACTACATTAACAAAATGCATTATATTCTCAACAATAAAACAAAATTCAAAGCTCTTAATGTTGATTTGTTAAAGTTCACCATAAAATCGCTGTTACTGATCACATTGCCTTTCAAAAAACGTGTGCCCATTTCCAGTATCTCTTCCACCAGTAGTTTTATGGTCGACTGTAACAAAATTTGAAAAAATAAATTCGTAATGTATGTACAACCCTCTTTTAACTGTGAAACAAAGTAACCAAGAAGTAGCTGATTTACATACTATTATTAAAACTTGCAATTACTAACACTCTTGGATAGCACATTTCCAACAATTCAAACATTTCTTCCTGTTTCATCTTCCTTCTTATCCATCACAATATGGGCGAAAAAAGCCCTATCTTCTTCTTTGCCCAATTATCTGTACGACTAAAATTTGCCATTTAGTTTAGAAAAACTGAAACGTACCCTACATTGGTCTGGCAGGACGACAGATAGATCTATTGATGTGCATTTAAAGATGCTGTGCCATCGTTTTCTTGCTTCTCTAGGTTTTATGTTAGTTCTTTTTATTTGGATTTACAGGATGCAGATTTCGAGATGTATCAAACAATTGCCATATTTATTTTTAACCCTAAGGAAGGATCCCAAGATTCCTTCAAACGATAGACTTGTTTCTTTAACCAGCTATCTGTGTAAAGATTTGGAAAGGATGGTTAATGTTCCTAGAATGAAACAAGATCCTCTTCAACACCAAGTTTGGTTTCAATAGTGATCACTGGGATTGACCATGGACCATCTGATTTGACTAGAAACATCAACAAGGAAGTTTTTCTCAAGATGGAGCTTCTTACTTAATATGTAATGTCATTACATAAACTTTTGCTATCTTACGGCCAGGACCTCCATTTTTGTGGGTCACTAAACCATTTACCATTTCTATCCATATTTTTTTAGTGAAGAGGCCATTCCAGGTCTTATGTAGAACAACACAGTCTTGATTGTTCACACAGGAACTCAGAGTACAATATGACTGTGTGTTGAGTTTCACGTGTTTTAGCATTAAGATCAAACAACCTCAATGTTCATGACTTCCAGATTTCCCCCTCAGTCATTAAAGATAACTTACCTTGAATGGTAGCTTCAAACTGCTCTCAGTAAACTATGTGAATGGACTACTGCAAATAGTTTAAAATATTCATCATCTAAAGCCATTTGCATGTATTTTTGCTGCCATGATTGCACCCTGATGGTCCATAGTTTTCTGTGATGATTGGGAGAAAGTTCCTTAGGCCTTCAGTTTCAAAATAGTCCTTCAGCAGGACAGCGATAAACCTAAAATCCATGGTTTGATTCTTCATTGTGGACACAGAAGATAGCCCAATGTGGCTGTCAAAATAAGATGATGTTTGTTTCTTACCTCCAGAAGTTTAAAGCTAATTGTACAAGGGCATTCGACATCCTCTCTTCCACCTCTTGGTTAGCAAGTAGGAATTCTGTAGTAAAGGCCTACCATGTACCCATTTCATCTAATCTCAACTATGGAGAATTCATATTTGCCTTGTCCAGGTACTCTGCATTGGAGATGTTGGACTCTTTGGATTACTATTAGCTTTCTACACTTCCACAGTTTAGAGTTTGTCCTATGATTATTTACTTCATCTCTAGTGTTTACAAGTTTATTTGCATTATGCTAGAAAGCTCCAATTTTTGGAGATAGATGGTCTGCTGTTCCAACTTTTGGCTTTCATATCCAGCCAAAGTTAATTGACATATGTCATCATCATTGTCGAAACGTTGTACATTTGCTGTTATGTTAAACTTATATTAATGTTTTTCTTCATTGCCCATTCAAGCCATCTCCAGCCATTATTAGTCTCAAAGTGGGTTCCTCGTCATCAAAGATCAATCATCAGCTAACATTCGCTCAGTCTTGGTCTGATATATGAGTAAGTGCTACTAATAGTGTACTTGGATCTTTGCTTTTTCATAATTACATTAATAATTCTAATGTCTGTGTACTGTGTTCTGAAGACAATACGACAAGAGGATCAACTCAAGTTTATTTTAAAGAAAAACAGACCATACAGGATCCAATTAAGGAATTTTTATTTATTTTTTCTAATAATGCGATTAGCCTACGAAATGATAATTGCTAT